GTTAGAGTGTTTTTTTGGAGGAGGGGTATACTAGGACAGACCCTTCTATAGAAACAAAATATGGATTCTTCTAAAAATTTATAATATAAAATTATATTTGAATATTTCAATTGATTTATTTTTCTTTTGGGAAACACACTCCAGTAAGTTAAAGATTCAATCTTTATTTACAATTTGTATTCTCATGTTGCTCTACTGCACTTTTTTTATTATTTTGTATTTATACAGTGGTAAATTTAAAACAAAGGAGTGCTTGTCGTCTTCTTAACTTAACTCCTTAACTTACTTTGATTTTAAGATACTGAGTTGACAATTTGTAAATGGTTTATTTTGTTTTAATGAGCCCTGATAATCACAATCATCAGGGTACTTAGGAAAGACTCCTGGTCATTTTTCTGTATAAAATTCAGGGAGCTTTGCGCCCGAATTCTAGAAACATATTTAGCTTTTGAATTTCGCTTTTCAAGTACGGCACTTCAAACGAACTAATGTTTTTTTAATGCAAACAAACAGACAGACCAGCCAAACATACATAAAGATTGATTTGCTCCATGGTAGGTTTAGACCTACTTTAAATCTTTTTTTATGGTTTGTCGATCTGTTGATTTCTTGCGCTAGATATATTTAAATTATTTTCACTTCTTATGTAAAGAACTTTGTTTTTGACTGAACCTTTGTCACGTTATCTAGAGCAGGGTTAATTTAACGTACAAAGGTTTGAAAAATTTCTTATTTTGTGTTGTTAAATAGGCAAGGAACATGAAACTTTCTTTAGGGGGTTCTTAAATTAACATTTTGTAAATCTAGAATTTTAAAAGAATAGATTCGAAATATTATTTTTTTACTGCACACCTTTGCCAATAAAACAATATTTTTTACTTTATTCATAGATTTTTTGCGTAGGCTCACCTTTGTTTGGTAACAAAAAGTGATGAAAATCCACCTACACTGTTTAATCATTTGAAAAATTGGATGTTTGTTCTTGAAAAGATGCAGGAACATAAATATTATTTATATTTAAAAATGCATGCTTGTAAGTTTTACATTTTTTTGTGTTAAATTCATTTATTCTTATAAACATAACAAAGCCTTGAATGGCGGAAAACCTTGTATTTTGTTTGAGTTTCTGGCATTTCCTGGATATTTTACCGATGAAAAACAAACACTAATTGTTTCTTCTCATTGAAAAAGAAGAAAGATTGTCTTTAAAACCTTGATTGCATTTTTCTAATATCCTATCCCTCAATAAATAACAAACATTTTTAACCCTATTCCCGCTGGGGGGGGGGGTCAATTTGACCCCCCCCCTGTAGTTTTTTTTACATAACTCAAAAAGTATTGGTCTGAGGCTGTTGAAATTTTCTGACTTTTCTTACATACCCAAAGCCCTCCCTTTAGGCCTAAAACCGGGCTTTAATACTAACTGCCTGAGTCCTCAGGCACACTGCCTGAATGACTGCTTTTGCCTGTAGCAAACTAAATCTTTGTTTTGACCCACTTTCACTTGTCAGATTTTGATAAAATTTAGCTTTTTGGAAAGCCTATGACATAAGGAAACGGATTGCACAAGTTTTGCGAAAAAAAAATTGCAAATTTTTTGCAAACAACCTGTCAAAGGAAATTTGCACATTTTTAGTTTTTCTTGATTAAAAATCAGGTTATTTAAAATTTTGCAAAATTTTTTGCATATTTGAAATGGCATGGTCAAGGGCTTTTCAAAAATGTATAATTTGTCATTTTTTGGACAAATTTTTTTTTGCAAACATTTTTACTATAAAACTGGATTTTGCGATAAAAAATTCAATTTTCGCAAATTTGCAAATTTTTTTGCAGATTCTAAAAGTAGAGCACAAGAGCTTTCTAATGATGTATCATTTGTCATATTTGGACATAAAACCTGGGATTTAGAGGGGGGGGGGTTAAATTGACCCCCCCCAGCGTATCCTGGTTTAAGTACCCCAACGGGGATAGGGTTAACCGTCTAAAATTTGTGCTATTAGCAATTTAATGTCAAAATTATATAAAAAAAATGAAATAGTTATAAACTATACAATTCAATAACTAAGAAATATTTAAAAGGCTCAACGAATCAGATTTCATGGTAAAAATTCGGCGAGCCTTGAATTTCGAATTCATTTTCAACAAACTATTATTTTTAGTATTTTCTATTTCATATTTTTTTTGGGCCATAAATTTCGAACAATTAGGTTTTTCAATGATATATCGAAATTTGAGTTTATTCCAATGCAGACCGGACATTCTTAGGTCTGGATAGTTTCACATGGTATTATGTAACAAAGTATACAATCCCTTATTTACTATTATGCTTTGTATAACTATTTCTGTGCCCAGTATTCTAAAAACAAATATCTGTGAATGAACCTTATTATCCATAAGAAAATAGAAATAAGAGAGATACTAAAGGACAAAGGGGATTAGTGTTAGAATACACACTACATTGCCCACTTATCTATATAAGAGAACAGAGTAAACATGTATTCTACACTGTAAGTGTATGGTTGGAAAACATTACTGCTGAGGTTTAGCATCAAGTTTCTTTCATAGCCTCAATTAAGGCCTCCATTCTGCACGATAGCAAAGTTTTTAGCCTTGTTCAAAGCCTCTTTTCTGCACTAAAGCCGAGTTTATAGTAAATATGGGCATTGTTTCTTGAACGAGGGAATTTTTCGTGAAAAAGGAGTCGTTCAGAGAAAAAAAAAACAATGAACGAACAAAATGGATCATTTAGAGAATTGAAAAAATTATCATTTTTTAAAAACGAACGAAAAAAAACTTTAAATCGTTCGAAATTACTTAAAAATCATTTCACTGAACGAACGTTTCTTTTGAACAAACGATTTCACTGAACAAACTATTTTACCGAAAGATTGTTTCACTGAGAAAGCGAACGAAATACATAGAAAATAAATGTTAATTTTGAGAACAAACGAAATAATTTTTTTAATGGTTAAAACCCCAACGAAATGGGTCGTTCACAAAAGATGAACGAATAAAATGAAAAAAAGTCGAATCTGTCAATCTCTAGTTTATAGTACTATTTAATGCCAGGTTTCTATCCTACCTATTGCACTATTACCAGGTTCCTATCCTACCTACTGCACTATTACCAGATTCCTATTCTACCTACTGCACTATTGCCAGGTTCCATTCTACCTACTGCACTATTGCCAGGTTTCTAATCTACCTACTGCACTATTACCAGATTCCTATTCTACCTACTGCACTATTACCAGATTCCTATTCTACCTACTGCACTATTGCCAGGTTCCTATCCTACCTACTGCACTATTACCAGATTCCTATTCTACCTACTGCACTATTACCAGGTTCCTATTCTACCTACTGCACTATTACCAGATTCCTATTCTACCTACTGCACTATTACCAGATTCCTATCGTACCTACTGCAATTTTGCCAGGTTCCTATTCTACCTACTGCACTATTAACAGATTCCTATCCTACCTACTACACTATTGCCAGGTTCCTATTCTACTACTGCACTATTACCAGATTCCTATTCTACCTATTGCACTATTACCAGGTTCCTATCCTACCTACTGCACTATTACCAGATTCCTATTCTACCTACTGCACTATTGCCAGGTTCCATTCTACCTACTGCACTATTGCCAGGTTTCTAATCTACCTACTGCACTATTACCAGATTCCTATTCTACCTACTGCACTATTACCAGATTCTCCTATTCTACCTACTGCACTATTAACAGATTCCTATTCTACCTACTGCACTATTGCCAGGTTCCTATTCTACTTACTGCACTATTACCAGATTCCTATTCTAACTACTGCACTATTGCCAGGTTCCTATTCTACCTACTGCACTATTACCAGGTTCCTATTCGACCTACTGCACTATTACCAGGCTTCTGATTATTCCTTCTTCGCAAATTTCTTGGATTAGAATAAATCCTTGGATTATTTCACTTGGAAAAATTTACATAATTCCATAAAGAATTTTACAAATATACATATTTATGAATATTACCAGATATCAGTGAACCTCTCATGTGGAACTGAATATTTAGCTCAGAGCAATATTTTTTAGATTCAACTTCCTCATTTTACATTTAATACAGCATCAAGCAGAACAGCATGTTTCTAGTGCAGGGTTCTCTAAGTGAAAAATAAAAAAAATGTATTTCTGATATTTTCTAAAATATGTGATGAAAACATTACATAAATTGTATAGGGCAACATTTCACACATGGAAGGATTTATTTTAAAGAAAAGTTAAATTCTCGACATACTTTTAGGAAAACAGTTTTTGCTTTGGTCTAGAAAAAATCCAGACATTTAATTCTGTAACCTTTCTTACTTAAAATAGTGGTTAATGTTTGCTAAATCTCATATATAAAGGATTATTGTATTTTCGCAGTTTCCATTAATACAGTTCTTAATTTCATCATTGCATTAAAAACCAAAAATTTAGAAGAGTTTTTTACTTCGCTGATACTTGATAAAGTAGATAAGTATCAAAACAAATAATAGAGTAGGAATTAAACAATGCAGATCAGAAATTAATGAAAAAGAAAGATGCCGTAAAGATTTCTAGAAATAAACTGATGTCTCATTTTCTTTTGCAGCGTGCAGTGATCATTGTTGTCACGTGCAAAAATATACATTTACAATTTTGGTTATTCGAAATATTTTTTGGATTTTTGTTGCCTTCTTAAGTCTAGAAACTAAATCGTAAAAACATTTTTCCTATCAAACATTAAACAATAATGATAATAATAATAATAATAATAATAATAATAATAATAATGATAATAATAATAATAATAATAATAATAATAATAATAATAATAATGATAATAATAATAATAATAATAATAATAATGATAATAATAAGATTAAGAATAATACTAATAATACTGGTAGGTTCGCAGTCACTGTGGTTATGTTAGTGATATGTACCCTGCCCCTGCAGTTTACCCAGCAACAAGGGAGGTCATGGAAGCATATAAAACTGTAAGTATTCAAAACTTTAGACATTTATCCAATATATCTATATCTATATATGTATGATACATTACATATAAACCGAAACTTAGGCATAATGTCCTTATATCTTGTACGGTTGTTTGCATACACAGAAATTGAGTCGTTGCCACAAACTCAGATTTTCTAATCCCTATCTTTGAGACCCAATGTCGTAGACCTTAGATATTTCAAACTATGAATTCTGTTAGGTAAATAATATACGTTTGAAATATTAAAGGTTTACATCATTTGAATGCTAAGACAATACTTTTAACCTGCTCAATATCAATTAACAAAAACTGATTTTCTTTGCTAAACATTTTTAAATAAGAATGTCAACCACGAAATTTGATCGTTTATTAAATTTAATTCTTAAATTGTATGAAGCAAATATTATTTCAAACCTAAATTCCTGATCGTGTTAATGTTTGTTTAGCTTTAATTTTTCATTTGAAGGCAAAAATCGATTCTGATTCTGAGTCAACAATTACGTTTTTAAAAGTGTTGATAAATTGTTATTATATATCCACCCAACACTATAATTCAACTTAACTCACAGTAAATCCATTAATTTCCAAGCCTTGAACTATTTTGTATTTGCCGATTTTGTTAATTAGGTTAATTTAGTTAGAGTGTTTTTTTGGAGGAGGGGGGGAAGGAAGAAAGCTTATTTATATAGTGAGGCATTTTATTAAAGACTGAGGATTATTACAGCGTGTAAAACCCTTTTATAAAGGTAGTGGTCTCTTAAAATTAAAGGGGGTATGTCACATTTAAAGTCCAGTCCAGTCAAAAAAGGGCAAATTAATGTAAACTGTTGGTACGGCTTCCTGCGCCCCACCCCCATAGACAAGAGTAAAGTAATTAGACAGCTAACTTTAGTGGTTCGGGCCAAGGACTAACATGTCACATATTATTTTATATTCAATTTTAAGGGATTGTAGCGTAAATAACAAAAAAGTCATGAAATATTTAAAAAATTTACACCACCCAGCCTTTTTACTCTCCTGTTCCCTACCTCCTAGCCCCCCCCCCCCCTCCTTGAGTTTTCTCCCTCAATGTTGAAAACTAGCCTGAGGATTTAAACTGTTTAATATGTCCAGCATCTACTCTCCACACTAATCAGATTAACTAAGGGGGCTTCAAACAACTTCTAACATATCAACAGTTTTCTCAACTTATGCAAATTATGTAAATTTCAAGCTGATCTATTTAAATATGGCAAAGGAATTGAGTCTTTGCCACAAACTCTGATTTTATAATCCCTCTATCTTTGCCACTCAATGTTGTAGACCTTTGATATTTCAAATTAGGAATTCTGACCGATAAAAACAATTAGAGTTTAAAATGTCAAAGGTTTAAACTTTTTGGATTGCAAATATATAGGGATTAGAAAATTTGAGTTTATGGCAAAGACTCAAATCCTTTTATCATTTAAAAGTAAACTATTTTATGTATAAGTAGAAATAAAATACATTTACATGTTTCAAATATATAAACTTTTTCAGGTTATTATAATAGAACTTAACACTCACATATTTTCATTTTGAATATTTGATCTAGCAGAATTCATAATTATGTCATAAAAATATTGAAGGTCTATAATACAACATCAGGTTGGACAGGTTTTAAAATTCGAGTCAGAGGCAAGAATGTTCAGTTCCTTTGTAGCAGTGAAATAGAATATATAAACATATATTTCCCTTTCTTATATTTTATTGGTTTACTGTATATTTGCTGTGCTTGTACGCAAACATTGTGGAGTTAGTGAACATGATGGTATAACATGTTAATATATAATAATATATTTTTACATTGTGTTAATATTTTATGTATATTTTAATAAAACATATTGTACCTGTATTGTTTTGTACGGAAATGTACCTGTAATGTATAGTTTTGTATTGTACCTACTACCTATATTGTTTAGTACGGTAATGTACCTGTATTTTTTAGTATGGTACTGTACCTGTATTGTTTAGTACAGTACTGTACTAAAAAATACAGGTACAGTACCTGTTTTGTTTAGTACAGTACTGTACCTTTATTTTTTTAGTACGGTACTGTACTTGTATTGTTTAGAATGGTACTGTACCTGTATTGTTTAGTACGGTACTGTACCTGTATTGTTTAGTACAGATTATACCTGTATTGTTTAGTACAATACTGTACATGTATTATTTAGTACAGTACTGTAACTGTATTGTTTAGTACGGTACTGTACTTGTATTGCTTAGCACGGTACTGTACCTGTATTGTTTAGTACAGTATTGTACCTGTATTGTTTATTACAATACTGTACCTTTATTTTTTAGGACGGTACTGTACCTGTATTGTTTAGTACAGTACTGTACCTTTATTTTTTTAGTACGGTACTGTACTTGTATTGTTTAGAATGGTACTGTACCTGTATTGTTTAGTACGGTACTGTATTGTTTAGAATGGTACTGTACCTGTATTGTTTAGTATGATACTGTACTGTATTGTTTAGTACGGTACTGTACCTGTATTGTTTAGTACGGTACTGTATCTGTATTGTTTAGTACGGTACTGCAACTGGAACTTGTGGAACAATATCCTGGCAGATTGAAGGACTTAAACTTAGGTATGTAATGTCCGTAGCAAAATATATTTAAGAAAATAAATATATTTTTTGATAATCTGACGTCATTTATCATACAGCCGATTTATCTACCATTTACGAACTAAAAATGTGAAATGAACAAAAATTGAATTTAAAAAAAAGAAATTTTCACTCGACATTCATCAGACCAAAATGGTTTGAAATTTCAATCTTAAAAAAGTTCTGTAATATTATTACATTTTATGTTTGTAAATTCAGAAAGCAAAATAAATTAAATTTTGTTCAATGTTTGATTTTCCGACTAAAGTAGTGTGAAATACTGGCAAAAACTAACTGTATAAATATTGAATTGGCACTTCTTGAAAATAATATATATTTATGTTGCGAATGTTGTGCACTCATGCATTTTCTTATATTTATTTTGCTCCAAAATTTAAAATTGTTGAACACTCAATTTTTATTTCTTCAAAATTTAATTATTTTAAGCTTTGGAAGATAAAATTTACATAAATAAACGATGAAATGAAAAATAAGATATGAAAACCAACCAACTTTCAAGTTGTGGAATTTATACAAAATGTAATTCCAGTTTTCTTTAACGTTGATTTTAATCTTTCATAATACACCATCTTTCCACAGATGAAATCTGTGTTACATTTAAATTGAAGTTAAACCTTGAATAAGTTTGAAAACATGTAAAATCGTCCACAATTTATACAAAAAACCTCTAAAGGTTGGAATTTAAAGTTGTGTAATACTTGTTTGGTTTGGTTTGGTTTGTAAATCACTAAAATTACAAAGAAATCCGTGAAAACATTTAATATTTAACCTGAAAATGTTCCACGAGCTGCCTGCACGGTTTAGGAGTTTTTAAAGGACAATAAGGTTATTAACACTCACATAACCTGAATATCTGAACAGTCCTTTTAATGTTTAGATTTGAATATAGTTTACTGTGTTTAGATTAATTGTAATGTGGAGCGTGCCTTTTAACCTGGCGGTACACTCTAGTTACCTAGCTCTAGGGATGGTTTATAACGAGGGAAGGTTCAGCTCATCAGACTACTGGTTCAATCAGGGATATATTTATTTATAAATTATATAATGCGTCCCTTGTTTCTTGGTTTTCATCTAGTTAATGCTAAAACAGTTCATGGACCCCACTTGGTCCTGGAAATGGTAAATCGACGATTTACTTTCAAAAATATTCCATAAAAAAACCTTCTTTTTGTTTTTTAAGAAAAGTATGCGAATTAAATTTCTTTGTTTTGTTCATAAAGTACACTATTGAAGAATTAAAATGATCTGATTTGCTTGGTCAATTGATATAGGTTTATATTTTTGTGGTAACTCACATGATCCAAATAAAGGTTTTTGGCCGGACGAAATTGAAAAATGTTGCTCAGAAAAAAAAGTAAAATTTCTTAATTTTTGAAACTCCATCCATTTAAACAGAAAAAGTGATGTATCATTGATTCAAGTTCAACCTCTGTCAATTGTAACGATGAAAAGGGGGGGGGGATGAATGGGTTCAGAAGGGAGGGGGGGTGGGGGTTGAGAGACTTTAATCAGTATTAGAGACAAGCCGTTTAATGTTCTATAAAGATGATTTAAGTATATTTCCCAAGCTGTAAAGTTCTAAGACTGGGTCTGCATCTGTTTCTTATTTATCAATTCCAATTACCTCTTTACCCTTTACCGAGGAACCTTTAATAAATCAGGATTTCTCAGGACTAAGATTAAACTACAGGCATGTGCTAAACATGACGTAAACTCTATGTTCATGCATTTTGTCGTATCTAGAAGGACCGTCATAAACAATTCACTACGGTACCTTTTTTAAAACTTTATCTGAGATACTATTAGAAAAACAGGAATATTTCAATGTTTTTTGCTCAGATAAAGGGACCGTCTGAAGAGTGTAGACCCTTATTCCCCTTTTTTGTGACACCCTGTAGTAATCTAGGGTTGTCTGTTTGGATGTCGATCATAACTCAGGAATGCCTTGACCGTTTGATAGGTGAACTCAAGAGAACCACAGGGCACTGAAATGTTCTTCGCTCGGTTTTGAGATTCTAATTTGAGTGGGTCCATTTGTATAGGGAAAAATAGCTAGCATCGTAATCTAATACCAAGCGCGGGTAAACGGCGGGAGTAACTATGAGTAACCTGGGCAACGCTGGGTTCCCAAGCTACTGAATATATATATATATATAAATATATATCTGGTAAGATGTACTATGGTAAACATGGACCCTTTAAACGGACTGAAGCTGGCCAGGCAATGACGTTTGAAAACGATAAGGTATTTTTGAGATAGATAGATAGATAAATAGTATCTAATTGATTTAAACAAAACAAATTGTTTTAATTGCTAATTAACCAACATGAAAGCTTGCTAATTACAAAGTATTAAATATCAGCATTACAATTTAAAATTAATTATACATATAAAATCATCTATAATTCAAATTACAAATTTTGTTTCAGATAATAGTCCATGGTTTTATGGAGTCGGATACCTACTCTCCCCTCCTTAATATCAGCGTGATACCCCAGACTAGTTACAGACTAGCTCCAGCTATTTGGAGCAAACTATACGATTATCCCAACATATACTCCAGCTCTAGCTCCCCCAATAGAACTATTAATCTAGCACTGCTCTGCCTAGTTCTAGCTCTAGCAGTGAGATGATAAACTATCTGAAGCTAGATGATTATGCTCAAACTATCACGTGTTCAAATATTCAATTATCTAGGAGAGCCTAGAGAGCCTAGACCTATGTTTGTTATCTACGAACCAACTGCCAAGTATAAGATAGGAGGAATATTGCCAACTTGTGAATTTGTGATATTTCTTCAAGTTCAAGTGATAGAATTATTATTAAAATAAAACCAGCGGTACACCAAACCAAACCAAATAATCCTATAGAACATTGTTTGCAAGGGAACACTAAATATAAGAAAATTATGCTCAACCATGTAAAAATATTGAACCCCTAAAAAAGATTTTTCTTCCAGATTTTCTGCCCTAAAACTCTGTATTTACATATTGTTATATGTTCATGAGATGATTTAATTCTGACATTGAAACTATGCAACATAAACTGCATGCACAAGTTGCATGTGAAGCCATGCACATGCCTTGAACAATGTACTATTTCACTCATTAAAATTTACAAATTTGAACAAATGCTAAACTAGAATTTATCCACATTTTTTCCCGAGCAAACATTTTTTAAGGAAAATATTCATTAATATCTGTGAAAAGTGTTCACATCCAAAGATTATATTGAACGATATAACGCTGAAAACCAGAAACTTTCTGAGTTTTATTAAATATTGGACCGCCAAGATGACCAAATTAATATTATTAGATATAAGATATATATTACTAACATTCTGAACAGTTGTCCACCTGTATTTTTTTCATCTTACTAGTTCGATAAAATAGGAGCATCTCTAACAATTCGACTGAGTTTAAAGTAGAATTAGATTTTCTCTTCTTACTAAACTGTTAATCTTAATCTATTAAATTCTATCATTCTTCTTACTTCAGAAGAATTTTTATAATCTATACAGTGTACATATACTGTAGATATGTCTATCTATCTATCCATCTTTTATTCTTTCCATAGTTCAAGTTATCAATTTTAAATATTTTTCTAAATGCACTAAAATCAGCTTTAAACAATGTAGGGTTTGGCTTGATTGAAAGTAATATTTTGAAATCATGCCTATTTACGAAACAGGGCTGGTTTTCATTGATGATTCCAGTTAAGCGATTTGTTAAATTTTTATCTAAAAATAACATTGTCAAGTTGTTCATGTTTTGAACTAGGTTGGGAAACTAGAACGTTAAAGGGTTATAAACGGATTCTAGACTAATATTCTAGCCAAGGTATTTATTTGAGTCATTTGTTTTGAAAAACAAATATTAATTCAGCCCTGTAAGCTATTCAATTATCTGAGCTCCTTGGGACCATTTATAAATAACCTCCTAGTAACAGGCAATCTATCATTTTTTTGTTGTTTAAAAAACAGAAAAAATCTCTTTTTTGTTTCTTGACAAATTTTCAAAAGAAAGTGGAAAATATTTAAAGACAATAAATAAAAACATTTCAAGTTGTAAAAAGTAATTTAATTCTCAGTTAAGCTGTTTTTCTTTTATCTAACGATTTTTTACAATTGTTTTGTTTCTCCAACATTTTAGTTTATCCAGTAATTTTACAAAATATAAGTGTAATTTGAACGAGCCCATTCGAGTAAAAAAAAATGTTTTCCACAGGAAAAAGTTTGCAACCTGAATCACTAACTATAAACTTGATAGAGGAACTGTATTTTGAATTCAGTATGAGAGTAACTTTTATATTACTCCTCAGCTCAGTAAAATGTAAACATTATCTTTTACTCTTTCTAAAACCTTTAAATCTCCAAACAACAAAGTTTTATAGTTGGGATTAAAGATTGAATTTGATCCGTCAGAAAGGATTTCAAACGATCTCAAGTTAAGCCACAGTGCGTTCCGCGAATACAGATGTTAGATTTAAAATCCAACAATTTGTCCTGTAGAGTATATGATATACCAACACCTATATTACTGTACAAATTTGTATTTGTGTGTATGCATATATATATATGTACACACATGTACACCTGTACATATATTTATCTTTACATCTACTTTCCACTCTCTTTTGAAAATAAAACAGCCATGATGAGTCCTATATTTTGGTAGGGTGTGACGATTTTTGTTGCTAAACTACTTTTCTTACAATAATCATTTAAAAATTAATTCTACTCTGTTCATCGTTTACATTAAAACAAAATTAAAAAGTAGTCGTTCCTCACCCCTTTTTTCAAAATCGTGAATAGTCACTTTAAAGTTAATTTTCCCGGCCTAGAGTTGAAATTTTAATATGTAAAACTGAAATTAGTTATCTTGTTTCAGATTTTATAAAGTCTTTCATTTTTAGGAAATTCAAGGCACAACCCTTTAAAATTACATTTTAAATCCTTTTATTTCTACAGATCATATTTTTAAACTAGCCCTAAATATGAAAATTAAAAATTTTATGATAGACTTTAATATAAATAAATTTTGGTAAATCTGTGATTACGTAACCATTCCAAATATTTGTAATTGTTAGTTTAATTTCAAATACAAGTATTTTAGCAAAATATTCTCAAAATGGCACAAAACAATAATAATAAAACAAAATTTTATGAACAAAAGAACAAAACTTTATAATTCTTCAAAATAAACGTTTTGTTTAAAATATCTACTTGTAGAAATTCAATAAAATATCCCCCATTTTCCAATAACTAATTCCGTATTTAAACAATTTAAACATTTTTCTTGCCAAATTATCAATTGCAAGTTTTAGCAGGCAGAAGCAAATTGGTTTTACTGGTTTCACTGGCTTCCTTAAATCCTCTCTGAAATCACGGGTTACCCTGGTTTCCTTGGATCCCTTGAATTCACTGTTTTCCCTGGTTTCCCTGGTTTTCTTGGATACCCTGAATTCACTGGTTTCCCTGGTTTCCTTGGATCCCTTGAATTCACTGGTTTCCCTGGTTTCTCTGGTTTCCTTGGATCCCTGAATTCACTGGTTTCCCTGGTTTCTCTGGTTTCCTTGGATACCCTGAATTCACTGGTTTCTCTGGTTTCCTTGGATACCCTGAATTCATTGGTTTCCCTGGTTTCTCTGGTTTCCTTGGATCCCCTGAATTCACTGGTTTCCCTGGTTTCCCTGGTTTCCTTGGACCCCTAAATTCACTGGTTTCACTGGTTTCCTTGGATCCCCTGAATTCATTGGTTTCCCTGGTTTCTCTGGTTTCCTTGGATCCCTGAATTCACTGGTTTGCCTGGTTTCTCTGGTTTCCTTGGATCCCCTGAATTCACTGGTTTCCCTGGTTTCTCTGGTTTCCTTGGATGCCCTGAATTCACTGGTTTCCCTGGTTTCCCTGGTTTCCTTGGATCCCTGAATTCACTGGTTTCCCTGGTTTCCTTGGATCCCTTGAATTCACTGGTTTCCCTGGTTTCTCTGGTTTCCTTGGATCCCTGAATTCACTGGTTTCCCTGGTTTCCCTGGTTTCCTTGGATCCCTGAATTCACTGGTTTCCCTGGTTTCCTTGGATCCCCTGAATTCACTGGTTTCCCTGGTTTCTCTGGTTTCCTTGGATCCCTGAATTCACTGGTTTCCCTGGTTTTCTTGGATCCCTGAATTCACTGGTTTTCCTGGTTTCCTGGATCCCCTGAATTAACTGGTTTCCCTGGTTTCCCTGGTTTCCCGTGAAACCAGTTCAAAAAAAAACAATTCGTTCTAAAATATACATATTTAAATCTAAACTCTTTGTTTTAAAACTTTTTATCTTTTAAATTCTTGGTGAAGGGTCACTTCTTGCCTTTGGCAGACTTGAAGTTGCTAACTAGTAAATTGTAGTTGCATATCAATATAAACATTTAATATTGTAATACAAATTTTATATTTATAATAAACTGTTAACATCATCATCTTTATTTAATTTATTAGGATACTGTAATTTTTTAAAACTTTTATTTTATTTTAATTTAAACTTAAATTAACTATCTTCGTTGTTTTTTTAACCGCATTTGCTCTTGATTATCAGAGTTGTTCGATTCCCAAAATTTAGGAGAGAAAATTAAAACTATTTTTTATTAGTTGGCTTGTATTTATTAGAAGCTAGTTTGGAAGTATTTTTAATAAAAAAAATCATGATCAGCATATATTCCAAATTTCAGATAAAGTTTGTATTTCCTTTATTTGTAATAATTTATTTATACCTCTGCAATGTGGAATCCAGAAAATTTGAAACTCTGGTTTCTTTACTTCCCCTGGTTTTAACTCAAGACTAATCTATCTTTGTTATTTCTCCGGAAAATTTCAAGAAAAAGTTTTTCTTACTCTCGACTCCACCATAACAAAGCTTAAATTCAAACTTTTCAAATCATCTTTTTTTTCAAGTATTAGTTTTGAATTTATGATTTTTTGAAAATGATTAGTAATTAAATTGAGAGAAGTAGACTAATGATAATTCCTAAAGAGCTAAACCCAAAAGGAGGATTAACTTAAATAGTTTCTTTAATCCATCTAAAATTAGTCGTTGGCTGTCAGAAACTTTAACAATTTAAAAAGAATGGTCTCACTCTTTGGTCAAGCAGAATTCAATTACTTTAATGTTGGCCAAATTATTTTAAGGTTTAGTAGCTTTCGACTCTATTTCAATTAAAAGTTATCGACTCTGCATGTATCCTTACGTACATACTGAATCGAACCATGATCCGTCGAAATTCTCGAAAATACTTGTAAAACTCTCGAGAACAACGAAAAAGTGAGAAAAAAAATTATTATTGGAAACAAAATATCAGGCTAAATTTACATATATTTTGTTAAAAATTTGAATAATTCTGAAAGAAAACGCTGGTAAAATCTCCCCCATTGTTAAATTGAAAACATTTGCGAAATTTTCACAATTTCTTGCGTCAAACTTTTGAAGGAAAAACTGAGCTAAAAAGTTTAGTTACCAAGGTGTAAAGAATTTTGCAGATAGTTGTTTTGATATTAGAATACAATTTTATTTTTTATAACTTGCAGTTATTACTTGAAAAAGAAGAAGTTAGTTTTACTGTAAATGTTTCTCATAATATATGTTGTTTTAAAATTCAGTGATGGTGATGGACCAAACCTCTGTAGAGTAAAAAAGTAGATGTTAGTTCTTTGCACTTTTATTCGTCTTCTTGATTAAAGTTTTGATATTGTTCTTTGAACAGGCAAGGGAGAATTCCAACCTTAGAGTGTTTAGTATTGAAAAACAATTTATTCCAGTTGGAAATCTTTATCTCTATATATATAAAAATCTATATTTATATAAAGAAACCTGTTACATTGGTTTAATTCTCTAAATTCAAATCACATAAAAACAAGTTAACGATAATCTTGTATAGTTGATAATATTCAAGTTGTTCTTACAAAAGGTTATTATTGATTTGAGTTTAGATCTTAGAAACTTCATCACTATGCCGGTATAAAATACTTGAAATCCTTTAAAATGCAGAAAAACGCTTTGCTGCAAAATTCTTTTGTGGAGACACATGGCGACACTTCATATTTGACCTGAGCTGAAAACTTTAGAATGGTGGATAACGAGATTAATGCTTGATCCTCTCTTTTTAACCCTATCCCCGCTGGGGTACTTGAAAACCAGGATACGCTAGGGGGGACTGTATATAGTCTGTATATAGTCTGTATATAGTCTGTATATAGTCTGTATATAGACTGTATATAGACTGTATATAGTCTGTATATAGACTGTATATAGTCTGTATATAGACTGTATATAGTCTGTATATAAACTGAAAACAGTCTGTATATAGACTGTATATAGCCTGAATATAGACTGTATATAGTCTGTACATAGACTGTATAAAATCTGTGTATAAACTGTATCACCGTCTTTAACCCTATCCCCGCTGGGGTACTTGAAAACCAGGATACGCTGGGGGGGGGGGTCAAATTGACCCCCCCCCCCAGCGGGAATAGGGTTAAAAATATCGAGAATAATCTAATCATGTACTTATATCCTGAAAAGTGTATAAAATTCAACCAATCAGAGTCGCGTAAATTAAGCCGAAAATTTGAAATTTTGTGCGCCATTTAAGAATATATACAGAAACGGGAGGGACTCTCTAATTAAAAAAAAACAGTTTTTGATTTTTCTCTACTATATCCAAGAAAAAACGGTTTAAGAATAAAATCGAAAGTGTTTCCATTGGATACTCAGATTAAATAATCGGGATTAAGGATATCTCATTCTAAAGTTTTTAGCTCTGGTC